ATATTCTCTACCATTAATGACTAGTAAATTTTTGTCTTGTAAACATATTTGAGCACACGAACATAAGTCCTTTGAATGTTATTTTGATACGTGTCTAAGTAACATGTTCAATTTATTTTCCTCATGTGTTGTATTATATTAATAAGACAATAATTTAATGAGACATCAATTTTTCTTTAACAAATCTTAGTAAATTATTTTTGAAATGACATGATTGTTAAGAATGAATAAATCATCACTCAACCAAAAGTTTCGACTGATGAATTAGATAAATATAATTTATATATATGAATTCTCAACAATAATTAAGATTTGTCCTTTGTTCAAAAGATAAATTTGATAATTTTAAAATATTAATAACCAAATTAATGATGTTGATATATTTGGCTAAAAAGAAGTTATTATTACTTTAATTTGGATGTGTCACATTATTAATCATCATTACGGTCTGTTTCTTAGGCTCTATTATTTTTATGCTTGTTTTTTGTAGGGCCAATCTTCTCTTCTTTCTTCTTTTTTTTCTTTTTTTCTTTTTTTTCCCCTCCTTTCCCCCTTTACTGTTTGATTCCGTAATTTAATTGTCTGCCATTGAAGAAATTATAACTAAATTTTTCCTTATTTATCATTTAAAAAAATAACTAATAGGCCAATATTACCTCACATTTTAGAATTTTGCCATTTCTTCTTCAAATTGCGGTGTCCATAAGTTGATACCTACCAATTTCATCATCAAAAACATCTTTTTAGTACCAGTATTGCATTTAAGTTTTATCAAACAATAAAATTTTTAAACGAGACATAATTATTTATAAAAAAAAAACCACAAAATGTAGTGGTAAAAAATGCATAAATCTAACTGAAAAATTCTAAAATCTGACCACAAAATTATATTGAGTGTCAAACTTCAACACAAAAAATGCGTAAATTTAACTAAATAATATTTATACAACTCAAATAATTAACACATGCAAAGTCAAAAAATAAAAATAAATAAATAAACGAACAACTACGAGTAACAATAAATATTAAAAGAAAATTAACAGAATGCATTAATTCCACTAATTAATTAATTTCTTTGTTCATTTTAATTAAATTTGACTCGTTTTGGCAAAATAAATCTTTTTTCCTTAATTACAAAAATTTGAAGAAAATTTGGAAATGTTGATTAGGCCAGTTCAACAAAGTTGCCTTCGTCTTCAAGCCCACCTGCGATTTACATCGCGGGCATACATACGAACCTCTTGTCCAGTCTAGTCCGGCCCACTGGGCCGAGATTGACCAATAAAATGGGCCCAATTTTTATTAAATGTTATTTTGGCTAAATATTCGTTGTAATTTAATCTCTAACAACATTATGTATTTTTTTTAAAAAAAAAAACCCTCACATTTTTACGTTTTTCAACTACAATCCTTTTTATTGGTGGATGTTGAAATTGATTTGATGATAAGCTTACATGGCATGATACTTGGTAAATTTACAAAAAAAAAAAAAAAAATTGATGAGTAATTAGGTCATCAAATATAATAAATGTTGAAATGTTTGCAAAGTTCTTGAAATTTGGAGGAATAATGAGGAAATTTTCTCTCTCATGTGACCTCATTATTCATCCAAATTTATACCAAACTTTCTAAGTACAAGTTTATCATTAGCCAATTTTAACTTTCACTGACAAAATGATATAATTGAAAAATGTGAAGGGACTAAATTGAAACTTCTTAAACAATAAAAATTAAACTGAAAAAAATAATTAAAAAATTATGGACTAAATAATATATTTTAGCATTTCTTTTAAATTTTATTGTTTGTATAACACTCCTTTAAAACAAATTGAAAGCTGCATCTAAAAGTCAAGTTTTGTGCTTTGTTTTCAATGTTTTACGCAAACAATAGAATTTTTAAAATTTCCTCAATGTCAAGTAGTGGTGTGAAATAGCTAAAATAATATAAATACATCAATACTTTCTTTTTTTGACGAAAATACATCAATACTTATTAATGATTAAGTAGAACAGATTATCCAATCATTTAAAATTCATTAATAATAAATAGACTTAGATAATTATATAATTTTTCAGGTCAATAACCAATATATCATTGACTTTTTAATCATTATTTTAATTTTGTTCTTATAAAATTGTTATACTTGTAGATGCTCATAGAGAAATTAGGTGCACTAGGAAATTGTCTACGAGACCCGTTAACAATTTATTCCAATGTACGAAATAATGAGTAGGCACGTATAAATTTCAAAATAAACAATTTATACGTCTTTTTTACTCAAAATTAATTTATTTATTTTTTGGTACAATATGTGGAGTTGAGGATCGAACTCAGAACCTTTTGGTTGAAGATATATATCAATTACCGCTGAATTATGCTCGTTTTGACAATTAATTTGTTTAATGCATGTAAAATTACAATTTTATTAATTTATTAATCTGCGCATGACTCAACTAATTAAAACATATATTTCCAACCTCAAAAGTTTGAATCTCTGCTTAAGGAAAAAAAACTTGTGGTTCTTAAACTTTTCAAATATGTATTTTAGTATCTAAACATAAAAAATAAAAATAAAAACAAAAGTCATTTTGGGCATGAATATTATTTGGCCACATAAAATCTGCCTACCCAATATTTTTTTTCAGGCAAAATTTTGGTTGAAATTTGAATACAGGTCTATTTCAGCGTGTTAATATACATATTCGACACAAAGTTATCCATATGTTAAACAATCAACAATAAAATAACGTTGAGGACGGAATGATTTCCCTCTTTTTTTTTTAGTTTTGAGACTTAAATATATTTTTTTAAAAAGTTCAAGGATGAAAGTGTAATAAACCAAATGAATGTTTAATAATTATTTAAATTAATTATTGTTTGATCTAAAAATGGTCAAGCTCATAATCCACCTAGGTCGGCAAGTGCAAGACGATCTACCTTGTCCTCCGAAGAACCTGCAAAACAAAATTAGCACTCTGACAAGCAAATTAGTCACAATCCGATCTAACGCTCAGAATGCAAATGGATTCACATACCTTATATAAGGGGCAGACATCCCTACTTATAGGGATGATCTCCGACAGGAGTCCCGATAGCGGTTTAACGATCATCCGATCGCCCATGAAACGCGACGTGTTGTCGGATTGATGTATTGTTTAACCCTCCCACGAATATCTTTGCATAGGTCGGCTCTGACCTTATAGGTCAGCCGACAAGATACAATTATAGATCAACTTGGTTATACTTTCCAACCTGAGAAAATAAGAAAACAATATCTTTTTTACATTGACACGGGGCAAGCGATAATCGCACCCAGCAATTATTAAAACTTTCGATGATTCATTGGATAGACTTAAAAATAAATATTCACAAAATTGATGCGAAAATCTTCTCTAACTCTTTTGTTTATTGATTTAATATTGGAATTCGTCAAGAAAATGACTTGTTAATGATTGCTTATTAAGTAACTAGACTTCTGTGCTAATATTCTTTTTTTATTACATATTGGCCCCAACAAATGGAAGTATTTAAGTTGTCGCCTTCAAAGAGAACAAGCAACAAAATTAATTATATTATTATTTTTACTTTACTAATAGAGAAAGCAATATTGAATTAGTCGAATTTTCTTGATATTGAGAAAGAAAATCCCAGATCCCATAAATTTGGATTTTAATATGTAGTTAATTTTTTTTTCATTTTATGACATATCTTTTTATGAGAGTGCAAAAGAAGGGAATATAGTCTATTCTTCTCTTTCTAGAGGGACAGCACGGTATAAGGATGGTGGGTTTTAGTGGGCTCCATCGATGGATGGATAAGACCCTTTAGTTTTAATATGAGAACAAGGAAAGTCGCACGACATCTTTGTAGCTTAGCCTCAAGACTAAACTAAGAGTAGGTGTGGTTGGTGGGAATACTCGAATAAACAAACATACTCAAGATACTAAACGAATTGACTACACAGAACAATCAAACTCGAATTTCTCTGGATGGAAAGGAGAATGTGGATAGATGGAACCAAAGAGAAGCTCTCCCTGCCATCCAGACTAAGGTCTCACAAACGTGCACTTCCCTTATATGCATCCAGCCGAAGATATGAAAGTAAAACAAGTTTGTAGACAAAAGTGCAACTGATCACCACATTTGTATTATAAATATGCCCGAAGTTATGTTCGAGATCGTATAGCAGTAGTCTCTATTTATTCACCCCAAGAATGAACGATATTTTGTTTCACGGGATGAATTTCATTTACACGTCTCGACCAGAAATGGTTTTCGCAAGCATACCACCAAGTCATCTGCTTTATAATCGAATCTGGAGAATATGAACTCATCGTGCGTGGTGGATTCACAATTAATTGTCTTGATCTATTTGGCTACATCCGCCTCTACCCCACATGTATCAAACCCTTAATGCTTAGGGTCGAGACTAAATTAAATTATTTATAACTCTATATTTTATTAGAGTTGTGAACTTAGGTATCTCTCAACTAATCAATACATTATTGATTGAAACTTCAAATCAAACTCATATTTTTAATGTTTTATTCTTAAAAGAAAAACAAAAACATACTTGATCCATAAACATTCACTTACATAGTTAGTCTCTCAATTTTTAGATATTATTTGGTTCATACAGAGAAGAGGGGATAAGAGAAATAGGAAAAAAGAAATGGGAAGATGAAGATGTGAGAGAGTTAATGAGGATTAAAAAAAAATAATCAAATTAATTGAAAACCAGCTAACGCTGGATTTCCCAAGATATATTAGGTATATTAGATAAATCAGTAGGGTATATCAGAAGTACATCAAGTATACATCAGAGTTATATCTGTAGTAAATGGTAAATCACTTTGATATCAACAAATTGACAAAGTTAAACTCAAAATGCTTTACATATAAAAATGCCCATTGTCATATCATTCAATAATAGTATATCAAAACACATATCAGAGGTAATAAATTTGAAATCATTAGTATATATCAGTAGTAAATCAATAGCAAATCAATGATATGTCATATAATCATATTAGAAATATATATCAACACACTAATATCATAATTATATCAATAAATATCATAGTTATGTTAGAAGTATATTAGTGATAAATTAAAGGTATATCAAGTATATATTTGTCATAATGAGTGATAAATCAATGGTAAATCATTTAATCATATCATGAGTCATATCGGTAGATACATAGTTATATAGGAAGTAAGTCAGTTGTATATAAGTGGTATATAAAAGATATATGAAGTATATATTAGACACATATTAGTATTACATCAGTAGTAAATCAATAAATGGTAAGTCGTATAATCATATAAGAAATTATTCAGTAGATATCATAGTTATATCGATGGTATATCAGTAGTATATCAATTGTATATCAGTGAGATATCAATAGCATATCAAATATATATTAGTGGAAATCCAAGGGAAATTAAATTTAACATCCCACACAACTAGGTTATTGGGCCTCCATCTTTTTGGGCTAATTAAGGGTAAATTTGAGATTTTTTAGGTTCACCTTCCGTGGTTTTTTTTTTAAATTACTATATTTGAAAAATTCAATGTAGATGTTGATTCTGTTATTTTACCTAATTTTTTGTCATTATTGTAAGAGACCATATTTTTATAGGCAAAATTATGTAGTGTAATAAAAAAAATAAAAGTTATAATACTAAAATAGATTTAATATGTACCCTTAAACAAAATATGCATAAAAAAAACACACGATTTAATTTCAGATCATCAAGTTGGGATTTCTCTTATTATTATTTAGTTTTCTAATTTTAGCGAGTGGACTAAAAAGATAAAATAAAGCAACAAACTTATGCAAACTAATATAAAATTGATAAAATATTTCACACGTTCCGTTTTACTTGATTTTCCTAAATTGTCATTTTTGCCCATCTTGGACTCTATCTTATCTTATTCTATTTCAGTTTTCTACTCATTATCTGTTAGAAAGGAATCCAAGTAGTTGATACAGAACAATTTATTTATTTTTCATTTAAAAAATTTTAAAAATTATCAAATTTTTATTGGTGATGAAAAATGATGACCTATATATATATACAAATTATTATGAGGGGTCAAAATTGTGTCACCAAACATTCCATTCGAATAATTGCTTATTCTCGTAGACTTATGAAATTAATTAATCAAAGCGTGTTCTAACTCATTATAGCTTAAAAACATGTCGATTATCTTGAACTATAAAAGTTGTTACAATAAAATCCTAAATCTTAAGATCATTTGCTAGGATAAAATTCTATGATGATCATACCTAACATTAAATCTCAGCGTTTCTCGAAAATCAAGATGTTGTAGAGTCTTGTAGTATTTTACGTTAGATTTAGTTAAAGCAGCCGTAATTGACTAGCATGGATGTTCACGGAATAGAAAAAAAACCATAAATCATAAACCACATCCTTAAACATATGTAATGGCTGCAACTATACCTCAAACTTTAAAAATGGTTACCATTAAACCTAATCATTAATAGAGTTACAATTACAAGATTGAATAGCCACAATTTGAAAACATCGAAAGGATACTTGCTCAAATTAAAAAGTTATCATAATGATTACTCTAATTTCAAAATAGCAGGCAAAAAAGTTGAAATAGTAATCCAAATTTATTGATTTCATTAGCTTAAATTAACTATAAAAATACATTCACAATCCAATTACAGGATTTCCATTAACTATCCAAACAGAAGATTTAAAAATAGAGAAAAAAAAAATTGGTAGATTTTTGGAAAGTTGAAGAAGTTGGTGTTGAATTTAATTGTAAGCTCCAGAAGCAAGTTTTGCTCTGAGCTCTTTCCTGAGGATCTTGCCAGATGGCGCCTTCGGAATGGCGTTGACGAAGAATACCCGTTTTAGCCTCTTGTAGAACACCACTTGCTTCGCTATGAATTGCTTCACCTCTTCCTCCGTCACAGCGCCGCCGTTCGCCTTCACCGCAAATGCCACCGGCACCTCTCCGGCCTGCTCGTCCGGCATACTATAAAAAACCAAAATCAAGAAAGTTTAAGAAATTATTTTAAATAATTTTATTTTAAGAGATAACAAAAAACAGAATTCATTTGAACGCACCCGACAACTGCAGCGTCGGATAGTTTAGGATGAGTGATTAGAAGGGCCTCGAGCTCGGCCGGGGCCACTTGAAATGCCTTAAATTTGATCAGTTCTTTCAACCGATCGACGATGAAGAGCTCGTCGTCATCGTCGATGAGGCCGATGTCGCCGGTGTGTAGCCATCCTTCTTTATCAATGGTCCTCTTGGTGGACTCCGGGTCATTCAAATACCCCTTCATGATTTGGTCTCCTCTGATGCAGATTTCTCCGGCGGAATTCGCCGGCAAGGAGGCGCCGGTTTCGGGATCGACGATTTTCATCTCCGCATTTCTCACCACCGTCCCGCAAG